CCTCCACCCCTGGCCCAAAATTGTCGGCCTGCCTTATATTCATGGATGGAAATGTATCATGCTTGTCCGGCTACCCTTTTAGTAGATTCAAGTTGTAAAGGAACAGATGTTTGTGGAGACCGTAATACGGGCAAGGGGCTACACCTGTGGGAACCTGGAAGATTCCGTCCTAGACGGCAAAGGCGGTGTCAGCAAGAGGTCAGCGCGGGCCCCCACACCCCACCACCGCTCGGGAGCCCGGTGCACCTGCCCGCCCCTCCCTCTCCTCCTCTGTCCCATGCAGACAACAATAACACGGACCTCATAGCAAGGGTTCGTTCTGGAATGATCCGGTCAGTCTTTGCTGAGGACCTACTGCGTGCCAGGCGCTTTCCCAGACCCCGGAGGCCCCCGCCCACACCGTCCCGGAGCTGCCGCTCCCGTAGGAGACACGGGCCCGAAGCAAATCCGGTCACTTCGGATGGTGATCGCCCTGCGGCCCAAATGGAACAGGGTCCTGCAGGGAAGGGAAGGGTGGCCTGGGAGGGGTTAGGGAGGTCTTCGGGTCGGCTTGCTGTCTGAGCCGGGACAGGTGAGCTTGGGGGACACTGGTGAGAAAAAGAGCCGGCCAGGGAAAGGTCCAGAAGAGAGAGAGAGAGAGAGAGAGAGAGAGAGAGAGAGGCCACACAGAAGAAATGGTCACTCCCCCTGTGAAATGAGAGGCCGCACCCTGAAACGGGCGGGGGTGAGAGGGAGACGGTGGGAAGCAGAAGGTGAAGGTGGAAAGGGCGGCAGGGCCAGGCCCATGGGCCCTCGGAACCGTGGAAGGAACTTGCACTTCAGCCCACGAGCAAGGAGAAGTCATTGGTGAGACCTGGGCGGCAGGTAAGGTGGCCTGAGTGGTGACCGGAGGCTGCCTGGCGATTCTCGTGGTCGGGGGACAGTTTCCACCTGTAGCTCACGCGGCTTGGGTACCTGAGGTAAGTGGGTCATGATCCACACGGCTTCGGGCTTCGAATTATCACCGTGTGTGTGGGGGAGGGGGGGGCGGGTCAGACCCCACCAGAGACCTGCGCCCGCAATGGAGCATTGGGCACCGCAGTGGCCACCTGGGCCAGCTCAGTGGCCGCCAGGGAGCGCTCCCCATGCAGGCACTCAGCAGGGTGTGCACTTATGTCCCCGATGGCCCAGCACTGATAGGTCCCCTGGCCCTGCAGCCCTTCCCCTCACACATGCAGCTTCCTTCCCAGTGACGCACTGGCTGCCCTCCTAGCTGCTGCCACTGCACCCACACTTCAGCCAGAAAATGGGGGACTGAGACAGGGGAGAGGACACTGTTTCCTTTCAGAGTCACCATCTGGAAGTCCATACGTCCTTCCCACTCCTTTCCATTGGACCAGAACCTACTCTCAGGGCCACACCTGGCTCCAAGGGAAGCCGGGAAAGGTACGTTCCAAGTTTAAGCTGACTTTGCCCGGCCGGCGTGGCTCAGTGGTTGAGCATCGACCTAGGAACCAGGTCAGGGTTCAACTCCCGGTCAGTGCACATGCCCGGGTTGCGGGCTCCATCTCCAGTGTGGGGCATGCAGGAGGCAGTCATTAGATTATTCTCTTGCATCATTGATGTTTCTCTCTCTCCCACTCCCTTCCTCTCTGAAATCAATAAAAAGATATATTAAACTTTCTTGTTATAAAAGGGTATGGGGGGCGGGGTAGCTCTGGTCTCTGCTTCAGCTCACATTGCCTTCAGCCCTCGGAGAACCAGCTCCGTGAAAGGCGGTTCTGTCCCCAGAGGTCGCGTGAATAAGATAAATAATAATCATAATAGTTAATACAAAGTAACGAGGTAGTTGAGACATCACCCTATCTTGATAACTCTGCCCCGAACAATCCTCGCTTTGTGCCGCGTGCAAACAGCAGGGTTTTATTTTTTTTTTAATTAAAAAAATAAACAGAACAAAGGCATCATTGTCCGCCGCCTCCCGGGCCTGCCCTCTCAGCTGTGTCCCTGGCCGTGGAGCGAGGTGAGCGCTGCCGTCTGTCTGTCTGTCCATCTTCCCCTCTCCCTGGCCCTTAGCGCTGAGCATGTCCGTCAGCTGGTGGGCGGCCAGGCCCTTCTGCACATTCAGCAAAATGGTTACAAATCGTCATGACTCAGCTGTAACTTTAAAACCACCCAGCGATGCTATCAAATCATGACGCCTAAGCTGACAAAAATGGAGCCCACGGCCCCCTTTTGGGGGGTGCGGTATTGGTGGGTGTACAAAGATCGTTCCCCTAATCCACGCGGGAAAGCTGTGCGCACTCCCCTGGGCGCTGCGTGCACTGACGGTGGGAAGATTCTCCCCGGAATACAGATTCGAGGGACATAAGGTTGTGACTATAAGGCACCTGGAGAACCAGGGTTTTATTTTATTTTTTCAATATATTTTTATTGGTTTCCGAGAGGAAGGGAGAGGGAGAGAGAGAGAAAAAAACGTCAATGACGAGAGAGAATCATGGATCGGCTGCCTCCTGCAAGCCCCCCACTGGGGATCGAGCCCGCAACCTGGGCACGTGCCCTGACCGGGAATCGAACCCTGACCTCCTGGTTCATAGGTCGACACTCACCCACTGAGCCACGACGGCTGGGCAGAACGAGGGTTTTAGCAATTAACCTATAGTTTCAATCAACGTAGATGAATATGAAACTATAGGAATTCATTTGTAAAAAGGCAAGGGAACCGGAGTTGTCGTCAAGGCATTGACATGCTGGCTGTGCCCATGACTTCCTGTGTGACCTGAAATCACTCCCACCCTCCGGTCCTCGGTTCCCGGTCTGTGACAGGGGGCGTGGGCCCTGCTCTGCATCGGGCAAGGCCTGGGACAGGGCTGCTCCCGCACCGCCGGCTCAGGCAGACCTCACGGATCACCCACAGCCTGGCTCTCTTAGCTCCAAGACAATCCGCATGGTACCAGGGCTGGACCAGAAGATGAGACCTTATGGGCTACCCCCAAGTGAGGTGGGTGCGAGGACCTCTTCCAGCTTTAACATGTTAGAATCTGATCCAGGAGAAAGCAAAGCGAGCCCGGCTGGTGTGGCTCAGTGGTTGAGCATCGACCTATGAACCTGGAGGTCACAGTTCGAGTCCTGGTCAGGGCACATGCCCGGTTGCCGGCTGGATCCCCAGCGGGGGCGTGTGCAGGAGGCAGCCAACTGATGATCCTTTCTCATCATTGATGTTTCTCTCTCTCTCTGTCTCCCTTCCTCTCTGAAATCAATACAAATACATTTTTTTATATAAAAATAGCAAAGCAAAATGGAAATTTCATTTGAGCTAATCGGTGACTCTGGTGCATTATAGCATGTGGCCTTAGATTCCACAGGGGAAAGCTGGTGGCCTTTGCTAATTAAAAAAGACGAATCACATATTTGGGAATAAAGGATGTGCTCTTTCCTTCACCTTACAGCCAGGGGAGGTAGAGAATATAAATGCAAATGAGATGCAAATATACTGTGGGGACCTTCCTCTTTCTTCGAGTTGAATTCGGCTTCTGGGCACCTATGGAGGACGCCTCCATCTCTGTGTTGCCTAGGAGCCGCCTGGGAAAGGTTTGGAGAGCCTCGCGGAACTGCCGTCTCCCACAGGGAAACAGAACTGAGACTTTCAAGAGCTGGTGGCAAAGGAAGAGCCCCCAGCTGGGGTGGAGGGTGAGCTGTGGCAGCTGCAGCTCCTGGGTCAGAAGGTCACGCTGGCCCTGGAGTGAGGGGAGCGGGTGCCACCGCCCAGGACTGCTGTCCCCACCGTGGGCACAAGCCCGTCCCTGAACCCCTCACAGGTGAGGCAGGAGACATCACCAAAGAGGGAACCATGGACGAAGGCTGCCTGGCTTGTTCGGTTTGGTACGTTCTCCTGTTAGGCAGCCCCTCTGACCGGGGCCGGGGGCCTGGGACCCTGCTGGCTCCTCACCCCCCAGAAGCACTTCTGCGGGCCTGGTCAGAGCTCCCAGAGGTCAGAGCTCCTGGAGGTCAGAGCTCCCGGAGGTCAGAGCAAGGCCAAGGGCAGGCGGGAGCCCCAGTGCCACTCCTCCTGCCTCTCGGGGTCTTCCTGCCCGTGCCAGTGTCTCCCTGGGCGAGTCACCTGAGAGCGTCCCCCTCTTGCAAGAGGCCCGACACACCACAGGGCCTGATGGACGTGAAAACCCGTGCGCTTAACACAGAGACTCTTTCACAACAGGAATGGTCTCATGTTGGAAGCTGCGTTTAAAGAAGCTGCCGTGCTCGGCCCGGCCAGGTTGGCTCAGTGGATGGAGCGTTGGCCTGCGGACTGAAGGGTCCCGGGTTCGATTGCAGTCAAGGGCACATGCCCAGGTTGCGGGCTTGATCCCCAGTAGGGGGCGTGCAGGAGGCAGCTGATTAGAGTTTCTCATCGATGTTTCTAACTCTCCCTCCCTCTCCCTTCCTCTCTGTAAAACATCAATGTATATTTAAAAGGTGAGATCTGAGGAAGGTCTATAGTCTGTTTCAGTGAATGGTGCCCATGAGTTCCATGTTTGACGGTGCACTGAGGAGGTCACCATCCGGGGAGCCCACGGACTATCTTTGCAACTTCTTGTGGGTCAATAGTTATTTCAACATAAAAAGCTTAAAATCAGAAAGAATTTCGTGGAACCGCAGTTGACCGAGGAGGCCCGGGCAAGGGAAGGTAGCGGGAGGGGAACAGAACCTTTGAGTCTCTCTCCCACTCACACCCCCGAGTGGGGCCATCTCTCGAGGATTCTTCCGGCAGCAGGTGGATGGGGGACCGCAGCCTCCCCTAGGCTGTGCTCACCGACAGAAGCAGGGCCAGTTGAAATGAAGCCACTGACCAGGGCCCTCAGAGGCCAGGCCTTGCCAGTTCCTAGAAGCACAGCCCCTTCCCCAATTTCCAGCTTTAATTAGGGATACAATGAACGAATCATAAAAACCCAAGCCGACTGGCGAGGCCTGCAGAGCTGTGTCTGGGGGTGTTGAGTGTGTGTGTGTGTGTATTTTTGGGTAACGATGCATTCTGCACGTGGTAATTAGGGTCCCGAGGGGGGTTGCAATTTCTTTTCTCCCGCCCCCCCCCCGTACCCCCCAGAGTTGCCAGTGGAAGGAGGCGGCTGCTAAAATTCCCACACATCTGGGGCTAACAGACACTGCACTCCAATTTCCTGTCGGAGCTGCTGGTTTCTGGAGGAATTACTCGCTAAGTAAATGATTGTTATAAGACCAGGACGATTCGGTCAATCAAATTAACCCCTTTTGTCCACCGCCTCCCTCCCGCCCCACCCCCCACCTGGCCGTCCCTTCATTTGCCTAAACTCCGTGGCTTTTTGAAAATGTGTTCAAGCTCCAAGGCCCCCTGGCCTTCCCCTCCTCGGCCAGCCCATGTAACCTGAGCAGGGACCCGAGGCCCCCAATTGTTTTGCTAATCAAGATTATTGCCCCATTGAGATGTGGAGGCACAGCCTGGCTGACAAAATTTGTCAGTTTCCCATGAAATAGTTCTGTCAGTGTAGCCTGGGTGCTGGCAACTATTAACATATAAATGAAGTTTCTCCCTCCTCCACCCCACACCCCCGCACTTCAGCCACCGGTCCTGTGGAAGCAGAGAAAATATAAACACACTCCCACCCCCAGCTCCCATCCCCTCCGTGAGCTTAAATCAAACCAGCTCCTTTTCTCCGGGGCCTGGAAATCCAATGGGCCATTTGGGGGGCCGGGGAGGGGGGAGAGCTGTTCAACAGACAGGAGGGGGGGCCTGACAGGAGCTGATTTGCACAAAACTACTTTTAAGGCACGACTCCGCCAGGCCTGGTCCCCCGCTGACAGCAACAGGCAACTGGCCGGTCCTGTAAGGGTACAAATGGCCTCTAAAGACCGGGCAGACCTCCAAGGCCGCCGGGGACGCAGGGCAAAGGGGAACACGGGGTCTGAAAGAGTCATCTGACAGCAGGGTAGGGTGGGCGGGGGCCACACGGAGTCCCCTGAGCTGGCCCTGCTCACAGGGGACTCTGGGACCCGCATGGGGCTGGGCTGGGGCCTGGCTGAGCCGGCCTTTCCACAGCCCACAGGCGTGGGTTCTTGGCTGAGCTGAAGGAAAGCAGCGATAAAGCCTGTCTTCCTAGTTCTTCCCGAATGGAGTTAGAACTACAGGGGAGAAGACCAAAAACTGTACTCTTTTTTTAATTATTATTTTATTTCAGAGAGGAAGGGAGAGGGAGAGAGATAGCAACCTCCATGATGAGGGAGAATCATTGATTGGCTGCCTGCTGCACGCCCCCTATTGGGGATTGAGCCCACAACCTCGGGCACGTGCCCTTGACTGGGATCAATCCCGGGACCCTTCAGTCAGCAGGCCGACGCTCTAACTACTGAGCCAAACAAGCTAGGGCAAGACTATGTTCTTTATATTACCATTGGAAGTTAATAATAGAGACGTAGGGGTGTATACCTGGAACCGCCTACAGAACCAGCTCAAAATGGCCCTGTCCCGGTCCTCGAGGTGCTGACTTGCTATTCAGAGGAAAAAAGAGCAGAAACTGCAAGTCACGCAGCCCACGCATGCACAGAGGAGAGAACATTGACCTCCGGCAGCACGGACCCAAAGTCTCGCCCCTGATACCCATCCCCAGGGAACCCAGGGACGGGACACCTCCGGAACTTGCACTCTGGAGCCCTTTCGGAAGGAAGGGTCCCGTCCGGGAAGATTCGGTGCTGACACCTGTTACCCCGAATGGCCACATTCCAGGCCCTCAGCCCTCCGCACACCTGTCCCCCTAAACCCTGAGCCCCCACCTGAACCAGGGAGTTCGGGCTTTGGAGCGTCAGCTTCTGTTCTCCTGGGGGTGTCCTTTGTAACACAATAGCCAATCTTGCCCGGCCGGTGTGGCTCAGTGGTTACACATCGACCTAGGAACCAGGTCACGGTCCAATTCCTGGTCGTGGGCTCCATCCCCAGTGTGGGGCGTGCGGGAGGCAGCCGATCAATGATTCTCTCTCATCATTGATGTTTCTCTCTCTCTCTCTCTCTCTTCCTCTCTGAAATCAACAAAAATATATTTAAAAAGCAAACAAGCCATCTTTCTCCCCTGCAACTCTCAGTGTTTAGCGTTCGGCTCTGCCGGAGTCCGGTGAAGGAACTCTTTCTGGTAGAAATGGATTTGCCAAGTCAAAACGAAAGGCTTATTTATCTTTAAATATATAGGTATGTGTGCATATGTTTATATACACATATAATATCTTAAGCAATCTGGTAATTATAACATATATGTAATTCAACACTGTGTGTATATGTGGGAATACATGAAACTATGTAGATGTTATAGACAGGGCGTCCCCCCAAAATGTATGCACCCTTTGAATAATGATTCATTCCAATGGGTTAAATCTGAAAAGCAAGGAACACCACTTGAGCTGTCAGCTGTTCAGAGTGCATGCATTTTGGGGGGACACCTTATAAATGCATCCGCAAGGCGACCGTATGAGCCACCTGGTGCTAAATGACTTCTGGAAAGACAGCCGTGCCCGGAGCCCCGCTTGGCTAGCGGAGCAGCCAAGGGGACTCTGAGAACGCGTCAGGCTTTGCAAGGTGGACTCGGAGGCAGACAGGCCCTGCGATCAGATCAGCTCCTGCAGCCTGGGGAACAGGCAGGCTGCACCCCTGCGGCTGGCGGGGGGACCACTGTGAAGGGGCCCCCTCCCCACCTCCAATAGCACCTGTTTCCCACCCTCCTGTCTCCTGCAGTCCGACGGGAAAAGACACCTGGGAGGAAGAGGGGCCCCCAGGAGGCCCCCGGAGCCTGTGCTGAATGCCTTCCTCTCAGACACGACGGCTGAGACGCAGGGAGCCGGTGGGGCGCCCCCGGCCAGAGAGGCCAGGCTTGGCATGTGCACCCGCAGGCCTGGCACCTCGCTGTTCGCCCAGCTCCGAGTCGCCTTTCTAGAATCAGAAATCCCTTTCCGTTTACTTAAGGGCCCTTTGAAACGTTCGTTCTGAGAACCTAGAAGAGTCATCTCTAAGGGCTGTCAACCGGGAAACCTGAACACAGGGGCCTCTCCGTGACCTTCGCCAAAGGCCTCAGACCCCGGGGGGCCCAGCAGTGTGAGCGCGGCCACGGGCTGGGCCCTCTCGGAGCCTCCGTGCCTTCCTCTGAGAGGGGGCCCCAAGGCAACACGACGCGATTGTCCTTAGAAGACGGACGAAAAGGCCGCGAGGAGACACCGCGGAAGGTGATCGCCCGTGGACACGCCAGAGAGGCCGCAGGAGAAACCAGACCCGCGCACACTCCGTCTCCGGCTTCCAGCCTGCGGACCCGCGAGAAAACACACGTGTGGTAGCGAAGCCCCTCGCGCCACGGTCCTTCCTTAGAGCAGCTTGAGCTGATAGACAGTCAAGGAGGGGTGAGGGGAAGACACTTGGTCAGAAAGTTTCTTTTTACATTTCAGGGGTAATTTGAACTGAGAGAGAGAGAGAGAGAGAGAGAGGAATTAGAGCATGAGATAACCATCCAACCCCAACGATAACAGCACAACTGGGAATGGCTCAGAGGTACTAGGTGCTGACTGGGTTGGACAACATCAGGTCCCGCATGCCTTGTGAGGGACACCGATGCCGCTGATCCTCACGATAAATCCAGAAAGAAGGTTCTAGAGATGGGAAGGCTGCATCTAGTAGAGCCTAGCCATCGGCCGAACTCCCTCGGGAAGGGAGTGCGGGAACTGTGTTCAGAGCGCAGGTCTCGCTGCCCCGACACCCGTGTGCCCTCCCCGTGGCTTCCTGCGGGCCGCGTTCTCCAAGGGCGAGAGGCTTTCTGACGCTCCGGAGGCGCCGGGAGAAGGG